AAAATATTCTACATTGAATTCTTTCATTTGGTGTAAGAATTCCATTCTTTCCTTGCTTGAAGTATTGAATTGGTGATTACGGTGAATGAAAGGGAAGTTGGAATTCATGGAAATAAGGTTAGATTTTGATGTTGGGAGTGTTATAGAATCATATACAAATATGAAAGTGGATTGAAAATCATTAAAATGGTTTGTATAAGCATTAGTCCACTAAGGTAAATTATGGAGAAATGTTGAGATTGATTAGTTTTGATATGGAATTGATCGAGAATGGATGGAAATGATATGTAGATGATGAATTCACGATTGAATCAAATTGGAGACCATTAGAAATAATCCCCCTAATATTCGACCATGATGAAGTTTCTTGGGGAAAAATATACAAAAATTTCCTAAGTGTTATAATGAATATGAGAATGATTCTACCTGTTTTGGAATATGTTTTGGACCATTTTGGAACTTTGTTAGGTGGTAAGGACCTTTCTGCAAATTTAGGGAAATTGAAGGATTGAAATACAATTGTTTAAAAGTTGATATACTATGCTGAAAATTAGTATTAGAATGTTCAATTGGATCAATTTGGAAGGGCGAATAAGTTTAGGGACAAAATTGCAAAGTTTGGAGAAGTTGGGAATTAAATGGTAATTAAGTAATATTGCTGTACTATATTGGAAAATATTAATAGAATAATTGAATATGGAGATTGAAATGATGTCAAAGTGAATAGAAGGGACCAATTTGAAAGTTTTAAAATACTTGGATTGATTTTAAAGAAATGTTTATTTGTGGACTAATTGTGAAATTGTGAAAAGGTTAGGTGATCTATAGTTAAGAATTTTACTTCAAGGACTTGAAAGGTTATTTTGAGGAAGATAAGTTAGAAAAGATTAAGCGAAAGAAATTAGTATCGAATATGTATTATCGCATTTTTAGAAATTTTATACTAATTTGTGCCTAATATGTTAGTTAAATACTAACATACGATTTGAAATTTTATATGCAAGATAAATGATTTTCGAATAGATTGAGATTTAAATCGAGACTAAAGCAAGCAAAAAGGAAATGACAAAGTTCGAGAGTGAAAGCGACAGTATAAGTAAAGCACACTAGTGAGACATCAGGAGAGTGCATCTTACCTATTTTATATATGATATGAGGACGGCTTGCGATGAGTCAACCTCAAATATTTTCGAATGAAAACGATTTGAGTTACTTTATGATATATTTTATATTTTGATTTATTAAACAGTTTTTAAATGATTTTGGGCATGAATTACCTAATACATTTTATATGAATTTTATTTTATGATATCTGAATTTTTTGAGTACGAAATGCCAAGGCATAGTTTGTGATATTTTTACCATATATATATATATATATATATATGAATGATTTGAATAAATGTGAAATAGTATATGAATTTAATCATTTTCATATGATGTTTTTATATGTAAAATGATATATGATTTTAATAAAAGCCTAGTGTATGTGACTTGAGGGTTAGTGGTACAATTGATATGTCATGAGGTGAAGTGTTATTAATCGGTCATACAGAGGTTCATTCATGTACAATATAGTTACCGGATACATTTATGTATTCGGGATTATAGGTACAATATTATTGTGTATAACACATGTACATTACGGGGCACCTATGGTGCAATTACAGTTATAAGGCATTAAATGTGTCATATAGTTACAGGCAGTTATATTGCATACAATATAAAACACGATATTATAGACTCATGTACCATATATTCTCATGATTATACATTGGGCTATAAAATGAACTGAAAGGAATAGTAGAGGAAAAAGGCACAATTACATGTTTGATTATATGTTTTACAGTAAAACTTTATTTACAAAGCTTGATTTCACTGAATGATTTATAACTGAAAAGTTAAATCACAAGTTACTCGTATATGAAAATGATTTGAATAAATTTTATTTATTTTAGAAATGATTTTATATTGTGTTTTATATGATATTTTTATACTAAAATAAATATTTTATATTTAGCATAGAAATGTTTTATTAGTTACTCTTAATGTCTCACTAAGTGAAAACTTAGCATATGATTGTTTCACAAGTAGATACAAGCAAGCAAGCAGAGTATAGAGCATTCCAGCATCATTTATGAGGAATAAAGTCTGCCTCCAAAATCAGTAAGGACATCTTACGATGTTATTTTTTACTTATATAGTGACATGTATATTAAAGAGTTTTTTTTAGTTGCTATGATATAGTAGTTATAAAAAGGTTTTGTAATATAAAAGTTATTAGTATTTTAAATATAGAAAGTCCAAGTATAATTAGTAGTATAAATGAATAGTATTTTAATAAATCATGTTTTAAAAGTTAATTGGTTGATTTTTAAATTAGATAGTTTTATATAAGATATAAAATAGTATTGAACTACCTAGTTGTTGTCTAAAATCAAATTTGATTTTAGCATTAAATTATGATTTTACGCGATTAATAAATTTAAATAAAAGAAATGTGTTTGGAAATTTTTAAAAGAAACAAAATTTCACTTGTTTTCAAATAGTAAATGTTTTTTACGACTAATGTGACATCTCAGACTCATATATGGGTACATATACATGTTAAGGGTGTTACGATATGAGTTTTTGTGCACTTTAGGTTTCAAATCCTCACGGGTTGATAATTCTCTTTTTGTTTATATTGCAGATGGTGTTACCACATATGTGGTTGTGTATGTCAATGACATCTTGGTCACCGAGTCCTTTGAGGCTCATGTTCGAACTGCCATTGATAGTCTTCACAACAAGTTCTCCCTAAAAGATCTGGGACGTGTTCACTATTTTTGGGAATTGAAGCAGTTCATACCACTGGAGGCATTTTTTTAAACCAGTGGATACACCCATTCCGGTAACACCTAAACTTGGTAGATTAAATGCCGGTAATGAAGTTGATGCTCATCTTTATAGAAGTGTTGTTGGGGAACTTTTGTATGTTTGTCATACAAGACCTAGTATTTCCTTTGATGTTTAGAAGGTTACTCAATTCATGCAAACTCTATGTGAGGCTCATTGGGCATGTCAAGTGTATATTTCGCTATCTCAAATGAACTGTGGATTTTGGGTTATGGTTTGCTCTTCGAAGGGATTTGTCTATGTTGCAGGCGTTCTTTGATGCTGACTGGGGCAGTGATCCTGATAATAGGTGATTTGTCTTAGGGCATTACGTGTTTTTGGAAAATCACTTGTTGTCATGGAACTCCAAGAAGCACCGCTCGATTTCAAGGTCGACTGCAGAGGCGGAATATCGTAGCCTTGCTGATGCCACGGTTGAGCTGGTTTGGATCAAAGCTGTGTTTGCTGATATGGGAATTCAACCTACTCATGTGTCGATTGTCTGGTGTGATAAAACCAATACAGTTGCTATGACTGCTAACCCGGTTCTACACGCTAAAGTCAAGCATGTAGACCTTGATGTTCATTTTATAAGGGAGAAAGTAGCCGATCAGGTGTTACAAGTTAGTTATGTGCCAGCTAGATTTCAAACTGTTGATGTGTTCACCAAACCTCTGGCTACTATTCGGTTTCAAGAGCTACGGAGTCGTCTAAAGGTGGTTTCTTTTCACCAGTTGTGCTCTTTGAAGGATCGGGATTAAGTTTTTTTAAAAAGAAGTTGAAAGTGGGGTGAATATCAAGTATCGAGTATTGTTGCTGCTTGTTGAAAGTTGTTTTCTGTTAGTTTGTTTCTGGTGCAGGTTGTTAAGGTGGTTTTGTCGGTTTAGTTGCACCTGGGTCAAACTAAAAGTGTTGACCCATCAGACTCAACTTGGGCTATATTAATGTGCTTCATGGTAAAGGGTTAGATCAACTTTTAGCCTACATTTCTTTAGCTTGCTTGCAGATGAGGTTTTACTTGTGTGTGGCCAGCTGGAAGGTTGTCGGTACGTGAAATGCATTGTATCTTGCCTATGAATTTGTGCTTAATAAGTTCTAGAATATTAGATCTAATTGTGATGAGCTGCTTTCAATATCAAATTGAATGCATGCCCACAGATGCTTTGTATCTTTAACTGTTCACATTTCACCCTTATTTGTTTCTATCTACCTATATCTCGTATAAAATTAGGACGAGAGAATATCAAATAATAAGATTAATTCCTTATTTTTTTTTCAATAATTATCTTCTCATTTATTATTGTTAATCTCAACATTTGATTTCTCATCATTGAAAATATAATTTTTTTTAGTTTTACATTATATAATTGGATACTAATTGATGCAGGGGGATCCGAGACAGATGATGCTGAGCTGTCAGATTGCACGTTGATGGCGCTGAGATACCATGAGTTGGCAGATCAGCGCAAAGGCGGGAATTGATTGTGACATGTTCCTCATTGGGGTCGTTTTGAGTATGTTTCAGTCTTTTGGCCATAACTTTAGCTACAGGTGTCAGAATCGCGCATAAGACCCTAATCCGGAAAGCTCTTTTCGACGCGCACGCTCTCCACATCGAGCTACGCTCTATGTGGCCTTTTTTTCAACATCAAATTCTGCCGTTTTCCCCTCCGAATCACTAGATTTAGTTATTTTTTACTATTTATGGTAATATTTCGATTGTTAATTAGGAAGTCAATTTAAATCCGATTTAGGCCGGATTTTTGGGAGATTGATTATTTTATTTTGAATTTCAATTTAGAGTGATTTTCGGGATTTTGCTATTTTTGGCAAAATTCGAATAAAGACGATTTTTTTGCTATAACAGTCCGGCTTGTGGACTGCTTTTTGGATGGTTTTTGATTTTATAATATTTTATTAAACCCTAGAGACTTTTTTTCTCTGGTTTTTGGGCGAATTTTCTCTTGTGAATCGTCTGTCGGAGCTAGCCTACAGGATAATCACTATTCTGTCTGACGTCACTAATCCTATAAACAATATAGTAAATATTAATTCAATAATAATTTAAAAGAAAAAATACATGGGAAGAGTAAATTAAGAAAACGAATATGATGGAAGAGAACATGAAATTAATAAAAACAAAGAAAATATTACAGAACACATACATCCTATGGAATTAAGCAGTTACACAAACCGATAATTATGGTCATTTTCGGTATTGTCAGGAATTTTACATAAGAAAACCCCCAAATTAAACCCCGAAACAAACTTGGATTTCGTCGGGTAGACAGGTCCCCATGTATCCATTCCCCAGTATACCCCCATAACTTAATCTAATTTCATCTATACCCCCCTCTCCCCCTCCATTTTTCACAGTTTGCAAGCTTGTTTGAAAAATGTCTTTTAGCCACTTCTCAAAAAGGCTGTCCCCAAAATAACTTGAACCGAATAAAACCCCCTCCAATACCCTATCTTCAACACTAAAACTAACTCCATTCTCACCCCCAAGAGTCTTGTTCACCACTCTTTTCATCTTGTCCATGAAAGCCTCTTTTATTTCCTTGTGTTGATCTTCAGTTGTGTTGAATACGTAGTGGTTTTTGATGGATCCTATGAACCGAATTTGGACATTCGGCTCCGCTGTTACGTCACTCGACATGGGACTGAATTCCCCACAGCTTTCGTTAGTTTCATCATCAGCTTTCATGTTCAGATCAAGAACATGGAAACTCGGTTGTGTTCTTGGTGTTTTGGTCGTGTTTGAATCACCCCACTCGAGTTTTCTCTTGTTATTACTTCTTTCGTTGACATTGAGCTTCATTTGGATCACTGAGTCATGGTTCTTGTTCCCATCTTCATATCTCGCAGAGATCGATTTGGTTAAAATGTATATTGCTCGGCTACTAGTGCCTCCCTCGTTTTCGAATCTATCCGCTAGCAGTTTCAGGAACTGGTTTTCGGCCGAATCAAAGTTTTCCACCATAACCACAAGCTTTTCATTGCTGCTACTAAATGCGCTCACGAGTTTTTTATGACATGAACTTACCTTGTCGTGTCTCAAGTCCATGTGCAGGAGCAAATCGGGTGATCCCAAAACATGTTCTGCAACTGCACGTGCTAATCTTCTTTTGCCGATCACATCATTCCCCTCCATCAATAACCAAGTATCTTTTTCGAAATCTGTCAGCGCATCAGCTATTGGAGGAATAATCTCAGATTGCCATGGCAGGTTACGTTGTAACAAATCACACAATCCACTGCTATTCTCTTTTGCTGGTTTCCCTAGCGAAGTACCGAGAGCGAGTGTGACTTTCACCTCTTTATCCTCACCCTTCTTAAGTGAAACCAAGTTCGGTTCACTTGATTGGTGCTTGTGAGTAGCGTTGCCGAAATCGAGCTCCACAATGCTCGAGTTTTGCCTTCGGAATCTAGGCACTGAACACGGACTGTGGTTCGGTTTCGGACCGGAATCCGCGAAAGAGATCGAAGTCGAATCGAACAAGGTACTGCTTTGACAAGGCCACCAAGGGTATGATGAAGCAAAAGGATAGCCTTTTCCACCCAAGCTTTGGTTGTTGTTATTGTAGTAAAAGGTGGATCTCAAATGGCTCTGATTCGGCCTATCTTGATGTAAACTGCGGCATAGTGTGTTCCACTTTCTCCTGAGTTCAACCGTTTCATCCTGCAAACATTGATATTCACTATATAAATCCATAATTCATGGGGGGGGGGGAACGAAGGAATTGAATCAGTAAAACTTAAAAAAATTTTGTTACCTTTTGCCTGGCATTGTTACCATGCAGCCATGGAGGCAAGAGCTTCTGCTGGCCAGACTTGAAAGACTCTACATCTTTCTCGTAATTAGAACTGCATTCAGCACAGCAAGTGAGCTTCTCATGCTCAAATGGCTTCTTCTCCAGTCCTTGTGAAGGGTTCTCACTACATAGCTTTCTTGAATCATGGGCACTGCATAATCACAATATAAAAAATATACCAATATTATCATACGTTATATATATATATATATGAACAGTTGAAGCAACAGAATAATTGAAGCTGTAAGCAAAAAGAAAAGGATTTTTTGTCTTTTTATTTCCTCAAAAGAATATCTATATTGTTGCTTCAAATGAACCATCAGGATAAAGGAAAGACGTGAAGAAACATAAAAGGAAAAAGCAAACGCATGCAGCAACCTATATCCCGACACAGCATGGTAAAAGATGCATAGAAAGCGATTCATATGTCTTCCAATACAACCCATGTTTTTTCTTAGTTTTTGGCGCGATTCAAGACAACATAGACTTCGAACTAAAAGATAAAACAAAGGAACAAACAAATAACCTGGAGGTTTGGAGGCTCAAACGGAGTCCACCAGAAGGAACTGAAACAGCTTGAAGTGCCCATTGAGCTTCAAGAGGAGGTTGTCTCATTTGGCACCTCAGGTACGTCTGGTAACTAGCAGTGGCTACTAACCAGACCTTTGGGTTGGACGAGTTGTAGTCGGAGATCAACCTTCCTATTTCAGTCACAAGATGTTCAACTGCACTATAATCAGTTGTTTCTCCTCCATTGAGATTCTCTTCCACAGTCCATTTCAAGTCTCCTGTGTAGATAATGGCACCTTCTGATGCAATGGAATCCACTCGCCTTTTTAAGTCATTGACATGCTTTTCAACATCCTCTTTTATCATGAATCTCAAAGACATAGGCGAAAAGTAAAATTTGATGAAATGAACACGTTTCATTTCTTCAGGGACGTATCCTCTATCTATCCTGGACGTCAGCTCAGAGACGAGACTCTCAGTTGTGGAAACACGGTCGCCGACTATGACACTATTTCTCCTTCTTTTCCTAAGAAAAACCTGGAAGACTGATTCGATGTCTTCTTTCAAAGACGCCGAATCGGCTACTTCGTTGTTCGAGACTTTCTTTTGAGGGGAAAAGAAAAATGGGGTTTGCCAGAAAGTGCTGTAACACTGGAAGACCGATGAAGGTGATGAATCCTCGATGTTGTTCTTAACGGCAGTGCTGGAGAAGCCAGCTTCTCGCATAACCCTACTAACGCTAGGGTCATCGAGAATGGATATGATAAGCTGTTCTAGCTCGACTTTGATGGTGAGTATCGGTTGTTGTTGCTGTTGCTCGATGCAACCCCTTCTCTGGTGAGCTTGTGCTCGTTTGAGTGCCGCGACGAGAGCGTTCGAGAGCGATGGTTGACCATGAAGGATCGGTCCCGTAGTCGTCGGTAGGCGGTTGAGAGCCACATTGAAGCAAAGCTCGAGAGCTCGACACTGAAGAGGATGTGAAGAAGCCTGGTGGTGATCATGTGACCGAGACTTGAGACAAGCGCTTCTCAAAAGACTTCCTCTTGAGCTTAGCAAAGTGGCGGCAACGTGAAGCGGAGTGACCTGACCATGGCCTCTCCGCCTCGCTAAGCCGAGAGAATACTTCAATAGTGAAGCAGCCTCCGCCGTGAGGGTCTGCTGAACCGTACAGGCTCCTGAGCGCATCACTTGGCCAAAACCCGCCCCCCAAACCCCCTTTGAAAAAAAAAGAACAAACTTTCCAACACCAAATTTTCTCTGTTCTTGTGCTAATTTTCCCCCTCTCCAATCACCACCACACCCCTTTCTCTTTTACTAAACCTAAAAACCTCTGGGGGAAAAAAAGCAAAGCTGTGAATCTGTGACAGTAAGGTTAGAATAGATATAATCTGAAACGAAATGGAAACCAAGGAAATATATACCGAGAAATTTCTTGAAAGAAGAGCTTAGTATAGTTTTAGAAACCTACACAACACAACAGGAAGACCAAACCTCATTCTTTATACTCCCTTGTCATTCATCGTTCTTTTCTTTTCTTTTCCCTTTTCCTTTTTGTATATTTATTTTTGAATTGTGAGCGGCTTTTCTTACCTTTTCATTTCCACTTCCTTGCTTTTTTTCTAGAGTCACCATCTTTTAATAACCCTAATCAAGAATGCACCACATATTCCCATGACAATAAATACCGTCTAGTAAGAAAGAATGATTTTGTTATTAAAACAAAAAGTGGTTATTTATTAATACGAAACATTCCACTGCACTTGTTGGGACTCGCAAAACAATATCTATGCATATTGAGAGTAGTAAAGCTTTCACGGCATGAAGTATATCAGATAAAATTTTTCCTTCCCCAAGACGATGATAAAGCTGCAAAAGAAAGATCTGATCAATCTTAACCACGTTCCTTTTTTGTTGTTGCACTTTTTATATATTATATATTGACATATAAATATACTAAAGGCATGCCTAAACACCTCCCGGGGAACTAAACAGGATTAACAGTAGCAGTAGTTTCCAAGCTCTTGAAGGTTTATGTAAAGTTTGGGATAATGTAATTTCGGAGCTAGTTAGATATATATATAATCATGTAATAGTTCGAGTCTTTACTAATATAGTTTGACCGATGATCATTTAAGATTTTACGTGTTTTAGATGATGTTGTAAAAATTATGAAATGTAGGGTATAACATATTTACGGAGAAGGAAACGAAGATTGAAGCATCGCAAATTATACTATCAAGAGTACTAGTTTTACATATCATCCATCGATAATCTTAATTTTTTTTTAAATATGATATTTGAAAATTGAAAATCTCTTCTTATGTAATAGCGTGATTTTATTATTTTACTCTTCTTTTAATAAAAAGTAAAAATAGTTTTATGCACGAATCAAATTATCTCTATAGTTAAAGAGATATTTATTATTCCTAAAGGTATCATTTTTAAGCACCAACGAGTGAATGATATTTAAACATTAATTATCAGATTGTTGAAATCCTTAAAATAAATATTATCACTTGTAATCACATTATGTTAATAAATAAAAATAGTTTCTTATATATAATATTGCAGGGTTTGTTGAGTAAACAACGTCTTAATCACATTATAATAAAAAATTAAATACTTTTTTAAAATAACAAAGAGAGTAAAACTGTGAGATAATGATTATATTATCACATTAAAATGAAAAGTGGATGTATTTATAAAAGAAAGAGAAAGAAGGAAGAGAATGCAAGATAAATAAAAGTGAAGAAAAGGGTAGTCCATTCCATCTAAGACCCACATTTCAAATTTTAAAAAAAGTGAGAGAGAAGTTCCCTCCTTTGAATGGACAAAGAAATTCAAAAGATATAAAAAGAATGAGATGAAAAGGAGAGCTGTAATTGTAACTTTTTCACTGCTATTGAATTGAATTTAAAAAAAATGTAAAATGTATATTTTAAAATTTTATTTAAATAATATCAAATTTAATTGGCATCCATTCCCTTTAACATCGTATTTATTGAAAATGTTTTAAATTATAAAGTATGTATCTACAGTTAATAATATGGTTATGTATCAACGAGATTCATTTAAGAGATAAGTAATTTAATGTTGTTTAAGCGATGACTTAAGTTTAAATTCTTGTTTATTCATAAAATTTTATTTGAAAAATACTCTCATTAAGATTAAATGTATGACCTACATTAATTTAAATTAATTATAATAAAACCCTAAAACGAGGAGTACAAAGTGGAAGAGGGAGGCAACATTTTATTCTTCAAGTGCCCAAAAAGCAACTCTCTGTCTGCTATCCTGCATTGAATTATTGGTCCTTTTTCACCTCTCTATCTCTCTCTCCCCCCAATACTTCATAACCCCCTTTCTCTTTCTTCTCGCCAACAATGATATCAAATCTACGCCGTAAAAATATTGTCTACATTTTTATACTATAATACGGTCTGTATTTCAATCTCCGTAACTTTAAAATGAGTAAAAAATTGTCTACATTTTTGTTAATTTTATGAGATATACTTAATTAATAATATGTCATCAATCTAAAATACGATTGCGACACTAAAATAGGATAAAATCACTCAAATCATTTTAAATAGTCATTTTATATTTATTTTTTTTAAAAATATTTTTATTATTTTTATTAAGCTAAAGTGATTATAAAGTAGTATATGTTCTAAATACTCTCAATTATTTGACAATTAATTAATATTCAATCATCTTGTTGAAGTCGTTGGTGTTCAAACCAGTGAGTTCTGAGAATAACAATGATTTTTTTTTTAATTTCTGAAGTAAGTTTGTTCGTGTAATATTTTTTTATTATTTATATGTAGTTTCATTCTACCATAAGAAATTATAGTTTAATTAATCAATTCTTTCAAAATTTTATTAACGATCAAGTGAATCACAAGGAGAATATAAAGGATTAGTATCCAGTCTTTATTTGATACTAATATAAGAGAAAAGAGATTGAGGACTAATTTAAATGATTTATTTTAAAAGTAGGTATTTATAATATAAAGTACACACTAACCTACTATAATTACAAAAAAATGATAGAATTAATTTCAACTTAGCTTTGATTATATGCCACAAGTACGGTAAAAGAAAGCCCACACCATCTCATTTACCGCAATTAGGGATGGCAACTCAACCCGAATTCGACGGGTTTCGACCCGACCCGACTCGATCGAGTCAGATTTTTTTAAAAAAAATTTGGGTTCGGGTCGGGTCGGGTTTTTTTAAATGTACTGTTCGGGTCGTGTCGGGTCGGGTTTAGGGTGAAAAAAATCCGACCCGACCCGAAAAATATATATAATTTTAGCCTATATATTTAGGGATAATTACAATAATGTCCCTCCATATATAATTTTTTTCAATTAAGTCACTGTTTTCATTGAATAATTTTTTTTTATTATTATTTCGGGTCGGGTCGGATCGGGTCGGGTTTCTAAGTTATATATTCGGGTCGGGTCAGGTCGGGTGAAACCTTAATTTCATCGGGTCAGGTCGGGTCACGGGTGAAAAACCCTTTCTTCTCGGGTCGGGTCGGGTGGCCCAAAAACCCGACCCGACCCGACCCATTGCCATCCCTAACCGCAACAACTCATTTACGGCAATTAAGGGGATGAGGGTCAGTTGGGCACAAATCTGCACCCCTAAAATTGAGAGGGCTCGACTTCAAGGACCTCAAAACTTAGAATCAGACTTACATGGTTTTACTTGATTAGGAAGGTGTTACTTAATGACTATTTTCGCGGCATGGATATCTTTAAAAACAATTCTTGTAACCTCTAGATTCAGTCTATGCGGTATGATTAGATCTAACATATTACAATGAAAAATTTTCAAAATATTTTCAACATTTCAAAATCATATCATAACCAAAACATCTTTACAAAAATATAATTAAAAATAATAAAATCCAAATCGAGTAATATAAATCTAAAACAATTATGTGTATGTATAAAATGATTCTACTATTAAACAAAACATCTCATCACGGATCGAGAAGTCCTTCCCTAATTATGACTCCTAGTTGGAGTCGAAACAGAAGCCTAAGAACGAGTAGGGGTTAGGGTGGATGTACGCTCAAAAGATGCTAGATACGAACAATTCTTAAGGAAATGCTTACTAGGCCCACAACAATAACATGTACCCATCTTTTTGTGTCACTCCCCTCCACGACAATTACCATAATGCTCACAACAAACCTGAAGAATCGCCTCGATTAACTACCAAGGGAGGGGTGACGCAGGCCTCGAACCAACATTACTCCTCTAAGGAGCAACAAAATGAGTATTCTTCTCATGACATGTAGAGGACTCAGATAGACCTAAAGATATCCTAGATCACTCTCGATCTACTTTATCTCTATCAGGAATCATAGTCTCAACTTTCTTAGCATCCTTTGCTCTCCCTACCAAAAAATCAAATACGTGTCCCGATGGGTCACTATCTTCCTATGTAGCTCGTATCTAAGTCCTTAAGCAAACTTATGACATCTATCTCTCTCGATAGGTACCAAACCAGAACCATAGTTTAGCTACTTCAAGAACTCAATCTTATACTATAAAACAGTCATATCCCCCTGAACTAAGTCATGAAACTATTGTCGTCTCTGCATCAAATATCACTTTTCCAGGAAGCGACTCCTAAATGATCTCTAAAGAAATCACACATCAGACGATCGATTGGAACACTATTCACCATAGACTCTTACCAGGTGTAGGCGTTCCCATTCAACATAGAGACAACTCCTAGATATCTCTTCCCTGGATCTAAATCTAACTGATCCATGTATCTCTCAGTATCACAAAGTTAGTCTCCAGTCTATGTAACCCCCCTAAATTTGATCTAGAAGTTATATATTGTATTTAGAGAATCCATGCTAAAACTTTTCCCTCACGAAATCCATCTTTGATTTAAAACTGTAAAACAACCATTTAAAAATGTAAGAGTTATTTTCAATTCCAAACTTTAATAAATATTATTAAAAATAAAAGTATGAGGAAATTTGATATGAATAATAAATAATTAAAACAAAAAAATAGACCAAAATTAATAATATTGTCCAAAGTCCCAAATACAAGTAATAAAAATAATCCCAAAATATTATAGGGAAAATCATATAGAGAATAGTCATATTATATTAAAATTCATACTGAAATAAAGTTTTTGTCTAAATGTTGAATATAATTCTCCAAGTATCGAACCTCCTAAGTATCAGTATCTGAAAGAAAGAAATTATGGGGGTGTATGTTATTATGCTTAGTGTGCCTCTAAAGTGCAACTAGTCAAATAAATCAAACTACAACAGATTTACAGTCTGAATCACCCAATAGAAATCATAGTCTAAATTCAACAAGATAATCATAATTAGAATGTTATGCAAATGCTTATGCACCCATACTCTTGTCACACCATTCAAATAGTGGGTTCCCCAGAACCATACAAACTACAATCAAATCACACCATCTGAAGGGGGGTTCGCCACAA